CAACACTTCCACATCATGGTTTACTTATGGAGAGCTCGTTTGAGTTATCAATCATCAGCGACTCCAGTAGTCGACATGTTTGACCCGATTCAGAGGTCTACAGAAATATTCTACTTCACATTCACCATGATGATTATGATACCCATGAATCTACTGTTTCATCGACAGCTTCACCTGGTTCTTCTTGTGCCTCATCGTTAATTGAGTCTTCAATGGATCATCATCAAGATGAGGATGATATCCAATCATCCGCAAGTGTTCAGTATACACCTTCAAGTAAATCATAGTCATATTATTCTTCATCGTCGTCCTCTTCATATCTGTCCTCCTCACTCACCTTAAGACGGGAGAATGTAGCCCATGTTATCAGTGCGATACTCAATTGTCCTATTGCGTGGTCAAGGTGATTCAAGGTCATTGCGTTATGCGGCCTATAAGTGTTATTGAAAGGGAACGCAATCAGAGCGCAAAAATTTTCAGATGGGTCGATTTTAGTGACATGTTCATAATTCATTCTGGTCAAAAGATATGGGTGTTTACACATTGCTGTCTCGATCAATTGGTTTTTAGAAAAATGCATTTATCTTTTCAACGGTTTAAGATATCACTTCTAGTAAGCATCAATAGGACAATTGAGTATCGCTCAAATTTCCATGAACAAAATATCACACCTCAAGTTCACTCAGGAGCAAAGATATAGCCAATCTAAAACGGTAAAATTAGCTGAAATGTATGTATGTTTTGTCTCATTCTAGCAATCATTGATCTGTTAATACAATAGAAATATATATTCTCGGCCCCAAGGGGCCTCGCTTGCCATGAATATCTCAAATATGGTGAACTAACATATACTAATAAATTGTATACATACGTGTATTGTTTAAAGTTATGCGAAGCACAAGTACCAGTGTACCTGGTGCTGATAAACAATGACGATATGTCACTTTGTCACTTTAAGGGAATTTGAAATGCTTCACAAAGAATTGTGCTTATTACGTAAAGAAACAAATCTTCATAAAATATTGAGATAAATTGCTTTTTGACTTATTATTGATGTATAAGATTTAGGATGATAAAACTGGTTGCAAATCCCAATTAACAAACCTTAACATACCTAAAAGATTGATCTTGAATTATGACATGTGTGAAGCAAAATCATCTTTTAATCTTTTGAGCAAAGACTTTAACTACATTAGCTTCTTATTTTATAGTGATGTACAAAAATTCCGTTCACTAGTTTTTCACTTTTTGCGAACTTTTTTGATTAATTTGCACTTGCGAACGTAATAATGGACGTTCACAAGTAGGTGTTAATTTAAGTAATTGATACAAGTAATATAAATACACAAGATAGCACACTTTTTTGATAATCGATAATTTTCATTCTATTATATTTCGTTCAGAAGTGATTTCACTTTTAAGGTCATGGAATCTGTTGAATACGATGCTGTGATAAAGTACTTAGTTATAAAACACTTGTCGTTTAAAGACCTGGTGGGCGAATTTGAATGAGTGGCAGTGAGGTCAATGGGTTTTCTTCAAAAATAATCGAAAAGTCCAAACATGGTGAACTAACATCTTGATGAGCCTCGACCTGAAACCTAGGACCCAAAATAAGGACCTTTGTCATACTCTTTATTTCTATTGAGCGTTGTAACAACCATTGGTACTTATTTTAAAATAACTTAGTTGTTCTCCCATTCACGACCGTTACAAATATATAACAGTAATTTATCTGGATGTTCATAAGGTAACTCGTTGAGGTTTTCAATTTTTCTTTTCTCCTCCTTTCAGAAGCCTGATTTCTTTTCTGTCTTGCAATTAATAACTTATCAACTTGCATAGGTTCAGCAGGTACTGGAAGTGGCAGGTCCATTGTATCAGCTAAATCGACCGGTTTACTTCTAGTACCAAGAAAAAGAAGGCAGCGGATTATTCATAGGCTCATCCATTCTGAGTGTTGGAAATGATCTAGGATCGGTCAAATCCTCATCAGCTTCCATTGGAATTCCTAAGGTAGCCTATAGAAATAGAGATAAAGGTATGCAAGCTTCCAGGCCCATGTAAACTTCCAGGGGTATGCAAGCAGAAACTGTAAAATCAGATGCGGCGCTAAAGGAATGTTCTTGTTAACTAGATTCTCAGCTTTTTCTCGTATTGCTTTATATATAATATCAGTGGCTTTGTATTGATGGTGCAAAATATTTTCATGCAGATGTTTGCCTTTGATAGTGCTCATGAGTTTGAGAATAGGAATACTTTCTGTCAAGTAAGAAGATATCATATTTCATACACTGACACTTTATCCTTAAGATTTTTTCATAACATCAGTCCGTAACCGTAGATGGTTAGGTGTTTTGGAGTCAAATCAATCTTTAAATAACTATATGGCTGTTTGGTTGGGTTTTCGAAAATTTGATGAATTTCTTAACTTTTTGGGGTAGAATTTCCTGGCTAAGCAATGGCTTTGCGAGTTATCTCTCGGATTTTTCATTTTGTTCATATACTGACGATTTGTACTAATTCACCTCATCTTTTTACCTTGATGGAAGACATTCTGCACTATGAAGATAACACTTATGTTCATGTGATGACTTCTCTCAGTGAACTTGTTCAATAGTCGTTTCACAGCTCCTAACTCATTCATCAGGTCATCTATGACAATTATATCATATACTGATGCTTCTTCAGTGAGGTCTTCATGATATTCAATGAAAGCTGCTATCATTGTAACTTTATTGCATTTGCCCGTGACACCAAACTATTTTTGGTTTTTCAACACTGTTTTAGCACTGAAGTTGGTGCTGCAGCCATTCAAGTAAAAGGGTTATTGAATTTGAAAGAGATCATATTGAAAGTGAAATTTATCAAAAAAGAATGCAAAGTGAACTAAAAGCTAAAGAGGAAATAAAGTTTTAATATTAATAATTATAAAAGAATACATCGTTTTTAAATAAACATTCATGCTTCTTTCCTTTGAATATGTATTTTCCTTTACTGTCTAAGTGTACAGCCTTCCATTCTTCCTTGATGGTACAGCGAACTTGCATCAATGCAAAACCAAGTAACTTTTGCCTTTCCATTTGGCAGGGTTATCAACATTCTTATCAACAATATCAAGTCAACATGATAGTAAAGCATCATCTAATTGCAGTAAACTACAACTCGGCTGTCACTTGAGTTTAGTTGTTTAGCTACTGACTCATGTTCTCTGTATTTTACGAGATGAGCACGTACGAGCCATCCAAACAAGAGCTTTCCTCTTGACCCTCAAATTCATCCGGTCAGATCGTTGTAAGCGGCTTCCATCTTTTCCAAGACACGTTCAACTGATGATTCTATGGCACCTTCAATCGAAATATCATAGTCATCGTGGGTCAGAGTTAATTTACGGAAGCTGATTGACTTCATCTGGTAGGGAAAGACAGACATTTGCCTTCTGTTCCTGTTTAAACGGCTAGTAGTAGGAGACTTTGAACGAGAGTGAGAAGCTGCTCGGTGAGGTGAACGAGATCTTAGAATCCACGTTTCAGTTCCAATTAACCGTTTACAATTTTCTCTTATCTAGAATCGAAATGATTACCCCTGATACAAAATGCTCGATTATCTCGCAGGTACTTTCGTTTAAGTTATAACTTTTACATAGTATTGTTAAGAAAATTTCAGTTAATTTTAATAAGCTTTCTCTATTGGATCTATATTTTGCTCAACATAAATGTGTGATTAAACTTTATTTTACATTCGAAAATGAACCAACAACACCTCCCAAATTTTTCAAACTAGTTAAAATTCAATTGTAACAAGGGTTTAAATAGATAGTGCAAGAAACATAATGATGAACTACTACGAAAGCAGAAAAGAGGTAATGTACTTAAAATATATACTCATATTGCTCAATCTAATTTTTTTTCTTTTATTTTTTATTTGCCTGCTTTAAAAAATTCAAACTTTTTGGGTATAAATCTAGACTTACAATGAAGTTAAATTGCATTAAGAAGCAAACAACGGTGTCAGCATCAACATGCAACAGTGATGAAATCTTTCACATGACTGTAGCAATTGATGCAGCTATAAAATCGATCGAATTCAATCTCAGGAGAAAATAATAAATGAAGAAATATTTAATATGGTGAAGGCAGTCCGATAAAGATACAATAAAAGGAAAATAATTTTGGGCCAAACCATGAAAAAATCGTGAGGAAGTTACAAGGAAAGCATAAGTTTTTTATCTGTGTTTATTTTCGTAAACATACGTTTTCATTTTCATTTATACCTTTTACTGGCATTTATTTATGTAGTTTTAGATTATTTTTAAGAATTAAACTAGTTGACTTATTACTATATTTTATTAGTGTTAACTATTGAATGGCTTAAGTTATGTTCATTTCTCCCTCTCGCTGCGTCTCATATAATAAAAAGTGACTTGCAACTACTACTTATGGCTTGCATTATTTTTCATAGCTTGCAGTTAGTTAGCTACGAAATAATTCCTTTTCTAGCAGCAAATGTAAATCCAATGAGTCCACCAGCAAAAGCCATAATGAGTACTACTGTCCCCAATCCGATTGCTAAATTAAAATTTTTTGATTTCTTCGATGATGATAGTTCTCCTGGATGTGGATTATTCTCACTCTGCCCTGTGATCTTCTTATGATTTATGTAAATTGAGCAAATTTTGCTGTCGCTCTTTGATTCTTCAAATAGTTCACGTTGATTAGCACTACTTGGCTTCAAGTTTGTCAATGAACAACTCGTCAATGGAACACTTCCATCGGAAATTTGATTATAGTCGATCGTTTCACAGAATTCAAGAGTAAAACAGTCAGGATCTGTATTGCATTTGGAAGCACAAAGTTCTAACGATAAATGGTCAAAGGTTACAACAATTGATTCTTTCATTTCCTGTTTCAGTGCAAATCCGAATTTATGCTCATAATCAAGTTCAGATTTTCCTGTGAAAAGTAAAAAGATTGAATTATTAGTAAATATTAACTAGATTCTAAATGAACGTTAAATTAATGTAAAGGCTTTTACTTGAATAATGAGAACATCCATCTTCAGCGTACTTCCAGTTTGTGACATTTATTTCATGAGCTTTATCTATCTCAATGTGTTTAACGTGTAAGAAACAAACAGATTCATTTCTGAAAGGAATTGGGGTAAAAAATAAAATGAAAATCCATTAGACAAATTCTTAAATGAATACACAGTAATATTACGATAGTTCCAATACAACTATCATTTGATAAACTTCAAAGCGATTTCAATAGTCAAATATAGAGTAACTAATAGTATAATGTAATAGGTAAGAATCATAAGTTGAAAGCTGCAATTCTGTAAGGCTATTATTATTATAACCTACTCAAAATATTTTAATATAATATGTGAATAATAAACTTCATCACAAATCAAAAGCAATTACTTTAAAACTCATTGGTTCCAATGATGACAATCGACTAAATTACAATATAGGCAATTAGACAATCATTTAGATGGATAAAATTCAATTTCATTACTTTTCTTGACACATAATATTAATAAAATGGAATAAAACAACAGTCTGTATATGCATGCGTGTTCACCTTAAATGATTGTCTAATTACCTGTATTGGTATTTAGTCGATTGTCATGATTGGGACCAATGAGTTTTAAATTAACTGCTTTTGATTTGTGTTGAACCTCATTTTTCACATGTGATATTAAAAATATTGCGAGTAGGTTATCTTAAGTTTCGACTTACCGTTGATTATTATTTTGACAATAATCGAATGATTCACAATTGAAAGCATTTGATTGAGCACATGTTTTAGCACAATCAGCTATTTGTACATTAGATATGGTTGACACGGCATCCAGAACTAAACTTTTGCCAGGATACTCATGGAATAGATTCATAAATGATTCTGAATTGGAAATGAGAAACAAAATTAATTCAAGAAGTGCAAATCAATGTGACAGTATATTTACTTTCATAGATGTTACACCCGTCTGCATGACTTGTTTTGTCTTTAAGTGAGTCTTTCAATGAACTTGATGTTTCTTGACTCAGAATACATTCCTTATTCTGATTGACGCAGTATGAAAGTGTATTACAATCATCATCATTCAAACAAGCCTTGAAACAGTCTTGAAGAGTACTTTTCTCGATTTTGAATTGTGCTGTATTGAAATATCGATCAGTTTCGATCATCGGAAAATCCTCAGCTCTTAAAGGTCGTGAACCACTTTCATATAGTTCCTGGGAAATATCACCAATCTCTTCAGGTCCATTCACAATGAACAAATCTACAGAGCCGATTATCGAGGCTTTATCCCTTATCTGTTGTAACACGCTTGACATTGTCGATAAATAATTTTTGGTAATCAACGGTTCAACATCAAACGTTAAAGATCTAGAATAAAAATTACATTTCTCACTGTATTCTGTTTCACTAGAAAAACTCGATTTCACAAAAATTGAACAATCGTAATCATCACAATAACTGAAATCAATACAGTTGGGATTCGCAGTGCATAGTTGTTCACAGTCCTCGACTTTAGATCTTTTCACAACATTTGAAGGATTGATAATTTTAAAATGATACAAACGACTATAAGTGTCAATGAAATGTACACGATCATAAAGTTTAACAGTAGTATATATTACGCTATCAACTCGTTGAGTATGAGTTTCACCGATGCGAGTTATTGGAATGGACGAAGTCAAGAATTTTTCTGTTGCTGCCAACAATGTTACCACACCGTATGGATTGTCCCATGGGATTGGAAAGAGAAGCTGAAACCAAGTATAGCTACCAGGTTCTTCGTAACAACCAGAAACATCGAATCGATCTTCATGATCAATGTTATTATTTTCGTAATTAATTATGGTTACTTCAACTTGAGTGGGAGGATCAGCGTATTTATAATTATAGTTGCTCCGATCTGGGGTAAATATGACTTTACTTGGAACAGAATCACTGATATTCTGCACATAATAATAGTCAATAATGGCGTCAACCCTATCTGAGAAGAAGTTAGTTGCTCTGTATTCTTCCACTCGAAAAGGTCCTAAAGGTATATCACCAATGAATTTTGGTGCTTGTCTTCGAGGTGGCTTCATTACCAAATAATACAATAGATTGAAGTCGACAGTTAGATAAAAAGGCCAACGGGTGATTAGTGTATCACCAGAAGAATAATCAGATGTTAAATGGCTACATTGACCGGTACGGCTATCAACTTTAAATCGTCCTAAAGGAGGTGGCATTTCAATGAAACGAACATCATCAGCTTCTTGGATTTCGTATGAAATGACATCGCCTCGTTTCATTACTCGAGCAGTTGATTTGATAGGCTCCCGATAAGAATAAGTTATGATCGCTTCCATGTCCATAGCAAACTCTTCAACTTTACTGAAATCTGGTAATGGAGTGTCAGGATTGGTATTTTTACGCACACACCCATAACTCAATGGATATGGAATGGGATCATCTGATGATATCACCAACGGTTCGAACATGTAAAAGTTGTAAACATATTTTGACTCGGAGTCGACCTTGCTTTTTAACTGTTGCAGTTTCATTTATTGAAATGACCCTCCTGAGCTTCGATCCCATTCAGGATAATACAACGAGAACCGATAAGGCAATGAGGTCTTAACATCAAAGTAAAAGTCAATGTAAGGTCCATTGGGATCAGAACAATAAAACCAGTGATTAATAGTACGACCTTCAATCAGTTCAGGTCCTAAGAAGGAAGCTTTATCACTGATTTTGTGGGCATAAATCATCAACACTGTTGGTCCCAAATGAACCAAATCTTTAAACATTTCTGAGCTAGCGACAATATCTTTTGGCTTAAACCAATCTTCGATCAATTCAATTTTCTCATTCTGAGTCAAGTTCCGGCTAGAACATCTATTTTCTTCAACAGTAATCTTTTCCTCTGTTGAATGATAATAATAACGTCGATTCAATTTGTCTTGAATGGTTGCTTCCAAGTCGATATATCCAACATTATTTTTCCCATCATAATAATCATGGACCAAATTTTTTCGAGTTGGATTGATAACTTCAACAGAAGCATGATAACCCGTTTGTTTATCAATCAAACTGAGAACATTTGGAACTTTCGACTCACCAGCTTTACCCCTTTCAGGGCATTTAAAATCATCACAAAGAATTGAGTTAATTAAGTAAAGAAAACAAAGTAAAAAGGAAAAGTTGAGACCAATTTTCATCTTTCACTTGATTGTTGACGTTTTATGTTGAATTTGTAAAAAGTGGATTCAATATCCAATTTTTCAATGTAATCAACTATTTATTATAACAATTGAGACTTTTTGACTTTTATTTGAACTGTAAGATTCGGAAATGAATTATGCTAAAAAATTGCGTGTGGACAATTTATTTATTAGCATCTAAAAATTCATCCAGTTTTAATCTCCTTGATATTAAGGTGCAAATGTGTGAAAATCAGATTATTTTATCATTTCTTGCTAATTTCATTAACTATGATCATTTGATCCACATCCGTGTTCCGTGCAAATTTGATTGAACTAAATTATTAATCCAGTTTTATCATCTTTATATTTCAATGATTTTGTCAATTTATACTCAATGATGACCTGTAATTAATGATGTCCAGTATTGAATCAGTTGAAATTTCATCGATTGTTCAGGTAAATAAACTATTGAACATAACTTTTTAATTACTGATTCAAGTAAACAACAAACTACTTATTGTTTATTAAAATCTTACTTTGCGCAAAATCCACCCACCTCAACAACTAACAACTTGTGAGTCTATTTATTAATACAATACAAAACAGGATCAAACCCATTGTCAGTATTTTTAGCAGCCCTGATTCGTGTTTTCTGACATTTAATAATCATTCCCCTCAAAATAACAATTGACAGGCACCAGTGTAACTGATAACAATAATAACCTGTTTCTTCATAACTAAACGTAGGAATTGCACTTAAACATCACACTTGAACAATTGGTATTTTTTTAACTTCCCGTCCTTATTCTTTTATTTCCTAAAATAAGAGCATTTTGGGTTTCCTTCCGATTTTCAGAAGAAATTCCGTTTGATGGAAAATTCTGATTTTTGAAAAATCGTCTTGAGAAATTTTAAATTATACAGGAAATGGCCCTTAAAAGTCAATCAGAGGTCAATAACTAAATGACCTTGAATGTCCTTGAGACTCTAGATTTATGGTTCATCAAATTCGAAAATTCTGCAGACTATCATAAAGATCTGACTTCTGCTTCAAAAGTTATTAGCAATGTTCCTAACCTAGCACAAACGACCGTCAAGGACAAAATAAACACCCAGCACATTTAAAATTTATCAATATGTTATATTTTTATGCTTTCATAAATTCGCGGAGTCATAATTTCTGACGAAAAGTTATTTCATTAACTTTACTCTTTAAATAATATAATGGAAATTTACATTGATTACATTTAATTAAGTGATTTATAAATTCAATAATCGATCTAATGAGGTAAACTAGCAAAAAATATGATACGATTATATGATATGATTGTTCTCAATGGCATGCATCAAACAAGTTTGGCATCTTTAGCCATGCTATAAAATACAGATTTATCGTTTTTCAAAAGATTTTCAGGTGAATCGTGTTCGATGATTTGACCTTTATCCATCACGATAATTTTGTCATAATCTAGGATTGTATTTAAACGATGGGCAATTGTAACAATAGTACAGTCTTTGAATTGTTCCCTAATTGTTTGTTGGATCAATTCGTCTGTTTCTACATCAACAGCTGCAGTCGCTTCATCAAGAACAAGAATTTTAGATTTTCGAAGCAAAGCTCGTGCCAAACAAACAAGTTGCCTTTGACCAACACTCAGATTATCACCACCTTCAGTAACTTCATGGTCCAATCCATTGTCCAAAGAAGCTACAAAGTCTTTTAGATTAGCTTGTTCAATAGCATTGTATATTTCATGATCAGCATACTTTTCAAATGGATCGAAGTTGCGTCTAAATGAACCAGAAAACAGTACAGGATCTTGAGGTATAACTGTTAGTCGCGAACGAAGATCATGAAGTCCTAATTGAGTAATATCTTCATCATCAATTTTAATAGTTCCCTCAATGGGTTCAATCAATCGGAATAGAGCTAAAGTTAAAGATGATTTACCAGCACCAGTTCGTCCAACAATTCCAACCTTTTCATTAGAGTTTATGCAGCAAGTGATTTCTTTCAACACCAAATCAAGACCAGGTCGATATCTAGTTGAATATTTGTTGAAGGTTATATTACCTTTAGATGGCCAGTCTTTTTGTGGTCTATGCGTAGGGTTAATCCATGAGGCCTAAAAATGAACAATCATAAATATGAGTAAGTTCAGAGCTAATTGCTATCTGTATTCACTAATTAAAGCAGTTTTATCTGCAAAATCGAGTCATAACAAGAACAAAAATTAAAAACAAAAATCTGACTAATTATAAATCATAACCAAATACTCACTTCAACAGGTAGTTTGGTGTATTCCAAGCAACGCTCTACTGAGACCAAACTATTTTCAATATCCGAAAATGCGCGCACCAGCGTACTCAAAATACTTGTTATTTGTGACGCATAGCTGAAAGAAAATGCAGTTCTTCCAGCAGTCGAGCTGCCGCGAGCATTTATTGCTAAAATGACTGTTGATGTAACTATTATGTTACCAAGTATCTGAAGTCTAATTGCTAGCCAACGACTAGCAGCAAGATTAGCTATAGATGTACTATTGTTTATATCGACTAATTTAAATATTTTGTGAGTGAATCTATCTGTTGCTTGATATGCTCTAATTGAAGATGATCCTGAAACTGATTCAGAGAAATGTGAATAAACAGGTGATCGAGTAACTCCGTCAATTCGCCTTAGTTGTCGTGAACTTGCGATGTATATTTTCTAAAATAAAAGGTGAAAGTTATTAAGAACCTGATAATTAACTTTGATCTTGATTCTTTAAGCTCTGTTATTCTTTAAACTAATTACCTGAATGAAAATATAAACTGCTCCAAGTACCAAAAGTACTATTAACAAGAGAGGAGTTTCCATGGATATAACTATAATTGAAGCAATTGAACTGAATAGTTGAGACACAAGAGTATTCAAATTGAAACCAATTGATGTGTCAGCTACACCAATATCTCCAGTGAATCTGTTCAAAATCCTTCCTGTTGGTGTTGAATCGAAGAATGACATTGGAGCGCGAACTAAACGTGATAACATTTGCTCATGAATCCAGCAAGCACCATTTACAACTGCAATGCTCAGTACCATCGTGCTAGCGAAAACCAAAAGAGTTTGACCAGTACCCAAAAGAGCATAGACTATGAGACGTTTATTACGTAAAGCCGTGTTATTGAAGTTGAGAGGGTTCAGAGAATCCTCTGACCAGGCAGTTAGCCATAAGCTTGACCCAACACTAGTCGCATGCAATGCAGCGAAAAGGATCAATGTGATTCCACAAGCTTTCACTCCGATAGCAATAAAATAGTCAAGATAAATTTTGCTATTTACTGATCCAGTTTCAGCATTTTCTGCTTCAATGAGTTTGAATTTATCACCTTTTGAATCAGGTTCCTCATTTTTCGAGATCACACTTGAACTTCGAATTAAACTTGCACGTGATTTGCGACGACGAAGACGAATGGATGATGTTAATGAACTACTGGTGGATACAGATCTGGTCAATGATAACTTTTTCTCAATTTCAGGATCTAAAGCTTTTACAAAATCTTTCTCTTCAGGATCTAATTCCTCTTCTCGTTCAGTCAGATATTGTACGATGTAATCGAAAAATTCACCCTTTTTGGCCATCAATTCACTATAAGTTCCGCTTTCGTAAATTTTTCCATCTCTCAAAACAACAATCTCATCTACTTGTGGTAAAAATGTGATTCTATGAGTGACCAAAATCCGAGTCTTATTTTTAAGCATGCCTTTTGGTCCAATAACTTGATCAAACAAATGTTTAGCAACATGAGCATCAACAGCTGAAAGTGGATCATCAAAGAGATAAATGTCTGAATTAGAATAAACTGCTCGAGCAATTGAAATACGTTGTTTTTGTCCACCAGATACATTGATTCCTTTCTCACCAATTTCAGTTAAATCTCCACCAGCTAATATCTTCAAGTCTGGTGTTAATGCACAGGCTTCAATAATTTGATCATATTTTCCTTTAACAAAAGGTGCATCAAATAAAATGTTGTCTCGAACTGTTGCATTTTGAATCCAAGATGATTGAGGCACATAAGCCAATTTACCGTAAACATTCACAAAGCCATGTTGCTTGTGTAAGTCACCCAGGAGAGCAGATAATAAAGTAGATTTACCAGACCCGACAATACCAACAACAGCAACTAATCTTTTCTTTTCAATTTCTAAATTTATATCTTTAAGGGTTGGCTCTTCATCAGGAGACCAGGAAAAGGTTGCATTCTTAACTTTTATCGGTGTGGACGAATCGGGAGCGTGACGAATAGAT